ATCGCGAAGAAAGTCGAAGAGCAAGACTCTCAAATCTCAAAGCTAATGGACAAGGTCGACAATGCTGAAACAAGCCACGCGAAGGACAAACGAACTGAAAATCGTGAGGAGTCTGAAACGTCCAAGCAAGAGCAATATGAAGAAAGAGAGAAGACTCCATTCCAACACTCGTCCATGGGAATGGTCCCCATTGATCAACTGAAGGATTTCATCATGGGAACAATTAAGGACAAACTTGATGGTGGTTCCAAGTCAACCCACAGCTACGTCAAGCCATATTCACCAAGGATCGATAACTTGAGGATGCCTGTTGGATATCAACCTCCCAAGTTCCAGCAGTTTGATGGCAAGGGCAACCCGAAGCAACATATAGCCCACTTTATTGAGACATGCAACGATGCGGGAATCCATGGTGATTATTTTGTGAAGCAGTTTGTTCGTTCCCTCAAAGGGGTTGCATTCGATTGGTACACTGACTTAGAAGCAAACTCCATCGATAGTTGGGAGCAAATGGAGCACGAATTCCTTAGTCGCTTTTACAGCACAAGACGTACAATCAGTATGATTGAGCTCACTACATCTCGACAATGGAAGGAAGAGCCAGTCATCGACTACATCAATAGGTGGAGGAACCTAAGTCTAAATTGCAAGGATCGTCTGTCTGAGGCTTCTGCCATTGAGATGTGCATTCAAGGTATGAGTTGGGGTCTTCGTTACATCCTTCAAGGAATTCGGCCGAAAACATTTGAAGAGCTAGCGACTCGAGCCCACGACATGGAGTTAAGCATGACCGCAAGCGGAGCTAATGGGCCACCAATCCAAGAACCCCAAAGCTCCAAGGATAGATATGAGCAAAGGAAAGGGGGCAAGTTTTCCTCGAAACCGCAAAATAAGGAGTCCATGACGATCAATGCTATGCCTGTCAAATTCAAAGGAAAATCTGCTGATAAAGCCGTTAAAAAGAAGGACGTCCCTAAGGAAATTGAACAAAGAAGGTTGACTCTGAAAGAAATGCAAGCAAAGCAGTACCCGTTCCTTGATTCAGACGTCTCTGGCATATTTGATGATCTAATGGAAGCAAAACTCATTGAGTTACCCGAGATGAAGCGTCCTGAAGAAGCTGGTAGGGTGAATGACCCAAAATACTGCAAATACCACCGTCTTGTAGGGCATCCAATTCATGACTGCTTCGATTCAAGGACAAGGTTATGCAGCTGACACACCAAGGAAAAATTTCACTAGAACAAAGTAGTGCCACTGCTAATCATATAAGCGAAGCTTGCAATATGACGAATGAGCACGAAGCTCCGCTAGAAGAAAACAATAGGCCTGAGGTTGAAACTCACCATGTTGATAACGATTCCATGATGGTCTTTACTGACGAAGATTTGTTGCTCGGTTCTAAGCCTCACAACAGACCCTTGTTCTTGGCCGGATATGTGCAAGAGCAAAAGGTTAATCGAATATTGATTGATGGAGGATCAGCAGTCAACATCTTGCCTCTTCGCACGCTGAAAGAGTTAGGAATGACTATGGAAGAACTTGGTAATAGTCGACTGATGATTCAAGGATTTAACCAAGGGGGGCAAAGAGCTCTTGGCATCATAAGGTTGAGGTTGCTGATGGAGGATATGGAATCAACTGCTATGTTTCATGTCATCGATGCAGAAACTTCTTACAATATGCTTCTTGGTCGTCCATGGCTTCATGAGAATGGCGTGGTTCCGTCCACATAGCATCAATGCTTCAAATATTGCAGAAATGGCGTTGTGAAGACTGTGCTTGGTGATGATAAACCTTTTACGGAGGCTGAAACTCATTTCGCTGATGCCAAATACTATTTCAATGATGCAAAACCAGTTGAGAAAGTCTCGTCTAAGCAGCATAAAAGGACTGAAAGTGAAGAATCAAAGATTGAAGAGGTAGAAAACTCTTTAAAAGAGTTAGTGTTGCCGATGCCGAAGGTAAATGACGAGAAACCTATCTCCCAACCACCCATGAACTTTGTTCGTCCAAGAAAAGGAGCTGTGACGGAGCATGGTGAAGGATTGAAGAACTCTAAGTGTTTTGATCCAAAAGCCTACAAGCTTCTCGTCAAAGCAGGATACAATCCCGATGAAAGTCGCTCTTTGGGAAAGCTCATACCTCAAGAGCAAAAGCACAACCGGGCA